CTTTTCTATATCGCGACCCTAAACGGGCATCTTTGGTGATGGTTTGAGCAGAGGCAGACCTCAAACGGCATAGACTGAGGCACAGGACTGAGCACAGTCAGGGCCTGCTTCTCCTTGTTACACCACACTGTTGTTTTAAGGAAGTTGGAAATGGATGGAGAGTTTATCTGAAAAGGATAAAAGCAGCTAGAGGAATGGCTGTTCACAAGAACCATCTGCTGTTGTCTAGGAAATGAATGAGGGAGAACAGGTATTTATGTCAAAAATGTTATAAGCTAAAATAATTGTTGTCATTAAGACTTCCAAATAGTGTCATCCTTTCACCATTCTACCAAAACATTTTGATAAGGACTTTTTGTAAAGGCAGCTAGGGATAGGATGAGGAGAAATGGCTTTAAACTGGAAGAGGGTAGATTTAGACTAGATATTAGCAAGAAATTCTTTACTGTGAAGGCAGTGACGCACTGGAACAGGTTGCCCAGTGAGGTTGTGGATGCCCCCTCCCTGGAGGCATTCAAGGCCAGGCTGGATGGGACTTTGACCTACATGATCTTAAAGGATCTTTCCAACCCAAAGCATTCTATGATTATATGAAAATAACAAGGCCTGTCTTGCAGTTCTCTTGGCTTGGCTTCATCAAAATGGTGGTGATCTTTGACTATGGAAAGCACTGACACATTAAGGAAAGCTGGGAAGGAGGATGCTTCTTTCTGAAGTGAGGCCACAAACAAGTGCTAAAGAAAGCACTTGCAAAAGAGGAGGAAAAATTTTCCTATTGGAAATATTTCTAAAGGTAGGTGTAATTATTCCCTTTTAAGTTATTAACATTAAAAAGAAATGGTGATTTTGACAACAGTTTCAGCTATAACTTCTGGTATCATTCTAAACATACAGTGAGCTGCCAAGAGCCTCCCAAGTTACCCTAACTCAATGTAAGAACAAGAGATGTGAGGTTAACTTTTGAAGATTGTTATCTAGGCAACCTGTATGAATCTTGCAGATGAGACCTTTAAGGACAGAACAGGGATGGCCAGGGGTTTTGTTTTATTCCCAAGCTTGTTGATCACCGCTTCTGGTTTTCTACTTGTTATATCCAGCGGGTCCAGAGGAGGGCCACTGAGATGATCAGAGCCCTGGAGCACCTCTCCTATGAGGAAAGGTTGAGGGAACTGGGATTGTTTAGCTTGGAGAAGAGAGGCTCCAGGGAGACCTCATTGTGGCCTTCCAGTACTTGAAGGGAGCACTGAACAGGAAGGGGAACGGCTGTTTACGAGGGTGGATAGTGATAGGACAAGGGGTAGTGGTTTAAATTGAGACAGGGGACATTTAGGTTAGATACTGGGAGGAAGTTTTTCATTCAGAAGGTGATGAGACACTGGAACAGGTTGCCCAAGGAGGTTGTGAATGCCCCATTGCTGGAGGCATTCAAGGTCAGGCTGGATGTGGCTCTGGGCAGCCTGGTCTGGTGGCTGGTAACCCTGCACATAGCAGGGGGGTTGAAACTGGATGATCATTGTGGAGTTTTTCAACCCAGGCCATTCTATGATTCTAAAACCAATATGGGGAGAGGCTACATGTCTCACTGTGCAGAACAAACACTGCTTGGCATCACACTATGGCAAGGGAAAATGGCAGCCTGGGGAATCTGCCCTCTGTCTTGGCCTAGTGGGTCACAAAGTGTGGAAGCAGAAATGCCAAGGCCCAAGTGGGCCTCTTGACAGCCTTCAAATTATGTCCTGAAACAGTAAATGTGATGAATTAATTCTTGAGCTGGAGAAAGTAGAATACAGATAGTCCATGAACAGTTGCACAGGCTTGTGCATGTGACAGACTCATACAACTTGATTCCTGTTAGGCTTTGGCATAGCATTGCTAAGTGTATATGAGCCGTATCTGCCTTGCAGGAACGCAGCTCCCACCAGTAGAGGCTGTCACTGCTGCTCTGTGCCGTGTCCTCCCGCTATAGCAACAAACTGCCGCTGTTCTGACCTGATCTAAATCACAGTTCTGTCATTGCTGCAGCAGCACCTGCTGCTGTGCCTGGCAAGAGCGCAGGCTGCTCCCTGTCAAAACCATCAGTTCTGCTCCGAAAGGTATGGGACCACTTGAAGTCCATACTGGGACTGTGGCCAAGGGTTTTGCATGCATTGCTGAATCCCAGCCTCTGATAAAGGGCTGTCCACAGCCCAGCTGCTGGGTAAAAGAGAGTATGCATTCTTAGGGGAAAGGTAGGTCAGAAAAGGTCCACGTGAATGAACCTGGATGGATGGCAGCCCTTGCGAGCCTGACTTTGAGATCTGCTGCTGCTTAAGGGCACCCTCTTGGAATATCCCTCAACTGCCCACTGCGAACGGCAATGTTGGTGTGAGATCCCTGTGTGCCCGACACCACATTCCTTGTCTCATTCCAGTGTGAGCCTCCTTTGGCACCTGCCAGTGCTAACAACCACATGCTTGGCCAGCACGGTGGGCTCAGGCTGGATTTGTGACCCAGAGGACCCCTTGTGTGTCTTTCTCCTTCCCTTTGGTTTCTGGTTATGGAAAATCACCTTGAAGATGAAAAAAACCCATGGTTAATTACTTTGAGGGGATAAAGTTTCATCTGTCCTTTGTCACACATACCTCAGGTACCCCATCACTGAGAATCCCAGCAGTGTAGATTCCCTCGGACTTGTCTTTGCTGCACCCAAATGAATGAAAGCTGAAACCAGGCGATAAAAGGGAGCTTTTACCCCCAAAAGAGAACAGCACGGTATTATCCATATATGCTGTGCTGCCCCAGTGCCTACAGCTACTGGCATAAATGGAATTTTGGAGCAAAAGAATGATGACTCAAAACAGTTCCTCAAAAAGGTACCTTTGATCCTGATGAACTAATGCACCTAAGGAACACCTTGGAGTCCAGGGGACCTAAGGTATCCCAGTTTCAGTGAGATGTATGTTTTCCATAGGACGAGGCCTCCAAAAGAACAAACCTCAAGCCAGAAGTCTGAGAGAGCTGCAAAAAGAAATGGAAAGATCAAGGAAAGCATCCTAAAGACACTGGGCCACAGCTGAAACAGAACATGGTTTGCATTTTGCCTGAAATCTTGCAAGTGTACACTGCAGTACAAGTGAAATGTGGAGTGCTGTGTTTCGTGCACCCCTCAGCCAGGGCAGAGGCAGCCGGGCAGGAGGCTCCTGGGCCACAGCTGCTAGAAGTAACCACTCCTAAGAATCTTCAGCAGTTTTGTAGCCAGCAGGAGTCCATTGAGGTCTGAGTATTCCCAAAGTTATGCGTACACAATCACGGGATGGGGCACAGATGCTGTCTTAATGCAATTTGTAACCAAGCTTGTAGAGTGCTATGTGGGTACCCAAATGGACCTGTGCTAGGCAATGTTCAGACTGATGGGAGCACCTGGATTGGGGAAGAAAAAGAAAAGGAGGGAAAAATTGCTTACAGAATATTAGAAGGTGTAAGAGTCTGCAGGTGCAAGCCTAGTGCCACAAACTGTAACTGCAGGATGGAAAGTAGTTCACCAGAATACATACAATGCCTCATGTAAGTCGCAGATCAGATCCAGCTATCGCACGAAGACTGCATCATTGAAATGCTGCTATATCTGATGATACAATAGTGCCAGAGAAGGAATGTTAAAGCACCTTAGAATGTTATTTCCTTTCTAGTTTATGTTCCACATACATTAGGAGTTATATAATTTATTCACATTTTCAACTAAATAATTTTATTGTTTGATGACCAGGGAGGGGCTGGTTGGTTGGTTGGTTTGTTTTCAGAAATTAAGCTTGCAAGTAAATCACTGTTCTACTTCCTGTTCCTGTCCTGTTGTTATGACACCTTTTCAACATGATAACTCAGGACAGCAGGAGCAGACAGAAAAGCTGCATGCTCTGAGCTGTGCAGATGCTATCATGTTTGAGAGCACGCTTGTCATTTTAGATGGATTTGCAGGGCAGGTACAGGCACATCTTTGTAAATATGCAGATGCAGCAACAGTTGTGGAGAAACTCTAAAAGGAGTTAATCCCTCAGTTTGGTATCTCTTGGTACCAGAGAGGGAGAAAGAAACTCACTTTACTGGAAAAGTGATGCAGAAAATTTCCACAAATAAGAGAATTCTCTGCTCCTACCATTCCCAACCCAGTGGGGCTATAGAGAAGGAAAGCTCCAGTTTGGAAACTAAATTTGCAAAGATTTGGACCCAAACTGGTCTAAGATATCTAAGTGTGTTACCTCTTGCATTAATGCATAACAGGTTTACCCTAACCAGATAGCACTGCCTGTCACATCATGAAATCTTCATGGGTAGGCCCACACTAGTAGAGCACACAGAATCTTTATCTCCTGTGCAGGCATTTTGCCACTGGCAGATGATGCTCTTCTAAAATACTTAAGCAGAAAAGTGTAAGGATTTTCCACACAGAGCTGAAAGGAGCCCGATCTGAACCCACCACTGAAGTCTGTCACTCCTTGAAACCAGGGGACAGGTCTGTGTAAGGGAAAACCAGAAAGCCATGCTGAATATTAAGACATTAGGAAAAATTTCTTCTCAAAGAGTAGTGATGCATTGGCACAGGCTGCCCAGGGAGGTGATGGAGGCACCATCCATGGGGGTGTTCAAGAAGCATGGGGATGTGGCACTAAGGGACATGGTTAGTGGGCACGGTGGGGATGGGCTGACAGTTGGACTTGGCGACTTTAGAGGTCTTTTTCAGCCTTAATAATTCCATGATTATTTTCTTCTTAACTCAGGTGGTTGTCTGCATTATAATAAAATTGCTCCTGCTGTGTAAAATTATGTTGTAGGAAATTAGAAACTGGAACTGAAAGGATAAAGCTCGGAGCTGTAAAGCAAATGCTCTCAGTATTAGAACAGGAGCACAACCATGAGTCAGTCCAGCAGGTGCGCTGTGATAAAGGTGTGCTCTGTTGCTAAAGCCAATAAGGAATTATTGAACCACATAAAAAACACTGTCAGCTGAAGCATGAACAGCAAGCATGGACGAAGGGCTAGCATGGCCCAAAGCTGTGACCCGTTCTCAGCTCAATTCCTGGGGCCACATCCTTGGGTTACAAATGAATGGTGAGACAGAAAGGGCTCAGGTGGGAACGTGTGAGGTGGGAATGCTGAGCAGGCACTGTGGTGCAGTCCCACTCCATGTCTCAAAGCTGTCTCCTCTCCAGTCTCTAAGCAGGGCAGGCAGATGCCCACTCTGCTGCTTTCTAAGCCATAATACCATTCATCCTATAGGGGACTGTGGGTTACTGGAGATTAACTGCAAAATGGTCGCAACAGTGATATGTGACCTTTTCTTTTCACGGCAGCATTTCATTTCTAAGACAAAGCAAACTTCTTTCTGCAATCAGCACTCAAAGGCTCCAGCTAACCACGGCACTGCCTTTATACTATTGATGCTGCCAACCCAAAGCCACTTCCTAAAGCAATACAGCATCACTTCGGCCCTACAGATAGAGGTCTGGAACGAGAGAGAAAAGGGAAAATGATGAAAAGCCAAAAAATCCATACAGCCATAAAGACTGAGAGACTGCCTTGAGAAAGCATCAGAGAGCTGCATTGCTGCCTCCTACCTAAGCTTGCTGCGCATATTGGCTGTCCCTGGTGTGTTGGCTGCTTCTGCCTTGCAAACAGGAATCAGGACAGAGAATGTGGCAGTAGGTAGTGGAATTAGTAGCACACGTGTCACAGCTCAGACTCGGGGTCTCAGGAGGTGCCTGGCATCATTCTGGCTCTCCTCAGTGTGCAAGCACTCAGTGCTCACAGCCAGACTGAAAGGTTAAGAGGAGGCTCCAACCCAAACGTTTGGGCAGGTAGGAACTGCAGTGCCAGCATGAAATCAGGGCTCGGAGGATGGCTTCACCTCCAGTCAAGCACAGTCAGCGGCAGGTTGGAGCAAACGTCCCTCTGTCAGTAGCGGCTCCAGGTGACTTCTGGTGCATCCCTGCCGTGAGAGGAAGGCAGCACTTCACACAGGACTGCATAGTCCGCATAGAGTATTGAAAATTCCTTTTTTATTGCATGCTGTCACCTCTCAGGTGTCTTCTCCTGGTTGCGTCTGGGACAGAGCCGTAATGCCTGGTATGACGCTGCGTTCTGAGTCCTGGAGAAGAACGATGTTGCTAACGCAGCGATGCTTTAGTTGTCGCTAAGCAGTGCTGCGCGGAACTGCGGACCCGGCCGGCCGGGGAGCAGCAAGCCCGGCACCCAGCGCGCTGCCGGCTGTTCGGGCCGCCGGAGTTTCGGAAGCGGATTTTTGCCTTCTCGCTGCCAACAGCCGTTCCGCAGGGCCTGGGCGCACCGCTCGATCGTGCCCAGCGGCGGGGGCAGAATCGGGGGAGGCTCCGGCAGCGCGGAGAGCCCCTCACCAACATCAACGGCCCCGCCCCAGCGTAGGGGCTCCCGTCGGGGCAGCGTCCCCCCACTCGCCCGCCCCCGGGGCCACGCGACCCCCGGGCGGGCCGCCCCCTGCCCGGGCCCATATAGCCGCGGGGAGCCGGCGGCCCGCTCGCCCCGACGGCGCCGGGCGAGGAGGGCGGCGCAGCGGCTCCTCGCCTTCCCCTCGGAGCCCGCTCTACCTGCGGCACCCCGACATGGCTCTGGCCCTGGCCGGCGAGCCGGGCCCCGCGACGGACGCCACGGACGCGCTCGGGCTGAGCCCCGCCGGGCTCGCTGCCTACTACCCGCCCTTCCTGCCCCCGGCGCAGTACTTGGAGGCGCCTCCCGACTTCTTCCAGCCCCTCGGCCGCCTGCTGCCCCCCTCTCCACCGCTGCCCCCCTTCGGTATCCCCGCGTTCCTCAGCCTCCCGCCGCCCCCCTCGGCCCCGCCGCCCCCCGCCCAGGCTCCGGCGGACACCCCGCAGCGGACGGCCCGGCCCGGGGGTTGCTGCGAGACGGCGGGGCAGAGCCGCAGGTTCCACTTCAGCGAGGAGGAGCTGAACGCGGTGCTGTACGGGGCGCTGCGAAATCCCCACATGCCCGGCGGGCTCCACGCCATCTCGGGGCTCCGCGTGCCCCCCGTCAGCCCGGGTAAGAGGACGGGGAATCCGGGACGGGGGTGCGGGGACTCGGGGCCGCCCCCACGGCCCCTCGAGCCGCTGATGAGGGTCCGTCTCCGCAGGTGCCGCTCGCTCCCCCCCGGCTCCGCCGCCCGACGGGGACGCCCTGCAGCTGCCCGAAGGTATGGGCAGGGACACCGCCCGACCCCGCGCCCCGTTCCCTGTCTCCGGCCGCGCTCAGCCCGCGCTGTCCCCGCAGGGTTGGCCGTGTTGCGCGTGGCCTACGGGGACGTTTGGCACCTCGGGGTGTTTTGCACCGCCCCCATCCCCAAAGGAGTCCGATTCGGCCCGTTCCAAGGCAAAGTGGTCAACACCACCGAGATCAAGACTTACGACGACAACTCGCTGATGTGGGAGGTAGCCGCGGCGGGGGGGGCCGGGGCGATGTTGGCGGCGGGGTTTCTCGCAGGCAATACGTTATGGCCCTGGGGGAACTGCGAGGGGACCTCTGCCCGGCCCCGATCCGCTCTCGGCCCTGATCCTCTTCTCTCCGCCCTTCAGGTCTTCGAATACGGACAGCTGAGCCACTTCATCGACGGGAAGGGCACGGCCGGCAACTGGATGTCTCTGGTGAACTGCGCCCGCTTCCCCGAGGAACAGAACCTGACGGCGCTGCAGTGCCAGGGGCAGATCTTTTACGAGAGTTGCCGGGAGATCGCGCCCAAGGAGGAGCTCCTGGTGTGGTATGGGGACTGTTACGTACAGTTCCTGGGCATCCCCATCTGCCTGAAGGGCATGCCGGAGGCGGGGCGGCCCCCGCAGCATCCCGAAGGTGAGAACACGGCAGCGCCTCGGGGGTCCCCCGGATCGCGCTCGGACCCGCACTGGGGGGAGCGAAGGGACTCTGTCACCGCCCTTCGTAACGCGTTTTGGACGGCTGCGGGGGAGCCCCAGCCCGAGGTGCTCTGGGGCGGCCATCCTGGAGCCCAAAGTGCCGTTCTCCCTCTGCCACCCCGGTTTGCTTAGCAGTGCTCATGTAAAGCATTCCCCGTTGTTGCCGGGCTGTTGGTGTGGGGGGACTTTTTGCGGCGTTCCTGGTTGGGTTTTGGTTTAATCCTACCGCAGCGGTGTCATCTGCGGTTATTCGGGGAGAAATGCGGTGGAGAAGGGAGACGCCGTTGTTAGCCGAAGCTGGGTCTGAAGTCAGGGTTGTACGAAGACAAAAGCCGGAGGGGGTGGGGGTGCGCTGACGGCGAGAGGGGAACGCCGGGCGATGGGACCGGGGACTGCGGTGGTGTTTTGTGGGGTGGCCGGTGGTTCGTTTCGGGGCTGGAGGGAATGTCACTTACCGCCTCCGATTAGAGGCAGAAGGAAATGTTAACGTTCGAAACGTTTCCTGTATTGTTCGTTAAGTTCAGTGGTTAAGAACAATTTAAAACCCCGAAGGAAACCAAATAAACGCGTGTTTGTTTGATAGCGTTTTGAAAACGACAGAAAAGATGCGCGGATCGATGGTCCTTTTGGGGGGAACGGGAAGCGAAGGGCAGCGGCTGTGCCGCCGTCAGGCCGTGTCCCGGGGTCGGCCGGCCGTGCCGTAGGAACGCGTCCCATCCGCTGCCCGCGGACACGGGCGGAACGGTGCGGAGTTCAGCCCCTCCCCCGGCACAAAAGGAATCGAGGGGCAGCGGTCCGTTTGCCTCGAGTTGCGATTCGTGTTTGGTTGTTGATAACTCCGGAATCCGTTTGTAACATTCTTACCCTCCCTGGGACTGACGGGCACCGCGCTTTGCCGTGCAGGCGCCGGGGAGAGCTTCAAATGCGAGCGCTGCGGGAAGGTGTTCGCCTACCGCTACTACCGCGACAAACACCTGAAATACACGCGCTGCGTGGACCGGGGCGACAGGAAATTCCCCTGCCACCTCTGCAGCCGCTCCTTCGAGAAGAGGGACCGGCTGCGCATCCACGTCCTACACGTCCACGAGAAGCACAGGCCCCACAAGGTGAGACGTCCCCGCCGTTACCTGGGGGTCTTCGGGAGGTGCTTTGTCCCCCCCGACCGCTCCCTCTGCTGCCTGTCCCGGGCCGAGGCTGTCGGACGCAGCGAGAGCCCGAAGCGTCGCACCCGACGTGAGCCGCTGCCTCGGCAACGCCGGGCAGTGAAACGGGGCTGGGAAGGGCTGGGGGAGTTCCAGTATGGCACAGCTATTGCTTCGGCCCCCAGCACCCTCCTTTGTTCCTATGGGTCATCTCCAGACAACGTCCATTTTCCTGGGATAGATCCAATTACATCAATGATACTGTACGTAACATTCGAACGTTTTAAGGATTTAGTAAGAGATTTAAAATAAGCCTCTATTACATTTGAGGTCTAATATGATTCTACTAATTATGCAGTTCGAAATCATAGTTCTTCTTTTCCTTCTTTCTCCATCCCTCCTTTTTTTCCTCTCCTTTTTTTCCTTTCCTTTTTTTCCTTTTTTTTTCCTTAACTTTTTTTTCCCCCTTTCCTTTTTGCAACACATAGAAAAGAAATACTTAAAAACAGCAGGGCGGTAAACTTGTTCTGAATGCATATTGCAATTAAATGACAAACAAATCGACTTAAATACCAAGAAGGAAATGTATCAGCAAAAAGTGACCTCCCATCGGATAGTTTATTTTGAACTCGAGAATGGTGATTTATTCCAAAATAACAGCGGGATAAGGAAATGATCTGTGGGCTCCTGCACATTCCTTCGGGATTTGTGCGCGTGTCCCCATGGACTCCTTGACTTCAGCACCTCAGCTCTGGGTGTCACTGCCTGCAGCAGTGCAGCAGAGAGGCAGTGGCTGCGCCCTGGGGGCTGTCACACTATCTCCCAGCAAAGTGGTCCTTAAGAGGGGTTCCCTTAAATAGAGGAATAAATAAAGGATCTTACTGTCTTAATAACTGGGAAAAAAAATCAGATTTAATTACTAATTATCAGTATCTTCTGCTAATGTTCCAGAGACAGATTTTACTAAGGCAGTTTTAACCATACAAACAAAGAGAGCTTTCAATTTTGCATGATTTGTCTGTCTTTCAAAACAGTTATTATTCTGACTAGATTTCAAGTTGTTCCTAGTTAAGTTAACCCCATGTAGAACAGCTCTTTCCAGCCGTGCCGTTCTTCCTGTAACTCCTGTGTTCTTTTGCAGTGCTCGGTGTGTGGGAAGAGCTTCTCGCAGTCCTCCAGCCTGAACAAACACATGCGGGTTCATTCCGGGGAGCGCCCCTACAAATGCGTCTACTGCAATAAGGTGGGCAGCTCCCGTGTTCCAGTGCCTCACAGCACCATGTGCTGCCCTTCCCCTTTTTCTGTCTAGGAAACAGAGATGCCTTCTCTTTTAAGTTGGTATCCAGATAAGCAGAGTGCGTGCGTTCTGGGTACAGCTGGGCGTTGCAGTTGGAGAAAGGGTTGAAGAGGTTGGAAGTTGAGAGGGTTGGATCAGATGTGAGGAAATAGCATCAGGTTGCACCAGGGAGGAGGGGTTAAGCTGGATATTGGGATGGTTTTTAAAATGGAAAAAGTGGGGAGGCACTGGAACAGGCTGCCCCATCCTTGGAGGTAGATAGAAGTCAATGTGGTGCTTTGGGATGTGGTTCAGTAGACGGGCTTTGCTTTAATAGCACCAGGTGGGTGGTTGGAGCTGGTGATCTTAAGGGTCTTTTTCAACTTAAATGATTCCATGCAAGTCCCAACTCTGAAATCATGTTTACACAAACATCTGGGACTGAAGAAGCAGGGTCGGCTCCTAGCTCTTGCTTTCCATTGGGTCAAAATTTGTGCTAATTCCTTGCTCAGCAATCAGGGACAGCGTGTAGGAATGCTTCACAGTATTTCAGATGCCATCCTAATCATTCACCGAGGTAACACATTTCCCTTGTCATCAGATTGGTAATGTTTGGTCTTAGTGACTCGTGGAGTGTGATGGACAGATGTAGTTTAAGAGCTGAACCTCCATGATAATGACCATGGGCTTGTTTACTTTTAGTAACAGGGCAGTCTATGTAATGGGCACTAAAGAGGCTCTGTGGGTGCAAGCTTTGCCTGCCCACACCCATGCACAGGATTTCTGCTTCCAGCATGGCATTTTCCTCAGCTTTCTGATGGTGACATGGTTAGCAGCAACTATTTTGTGTAGTCTGCAAATAGAGAAGGACCCAAAAGTGCCTCGGTTGGGGAAAAATTAAGGAAACAGCTGGCTGTTCTGCAACCTGTTTGCTTTTGGCTTAGTGAGGGGGTTTTCTCCTAAAATGTAAGGTTGTTATGAGGGGATAAAGTCATGTGAGGGGAAAGATGGGCTAGGAGGTACTGAAGGCAGAGCAGAACATGACAGAAGGAAAAAGAAAAGCCCTACAGGTGGATGCTAGCCCAGCATGAGCGAATTCTGGCAGCTGAATTCCAAGCCAGCATTCATCAGCATGAAAGGGTTTAACTTTGAAAGTAAACACTGCAAAGAAAACCTGCATTATGTTTCCCCTATACAAAGCTAATTAGGGTAGTATTGACTTGACTTCTCATCCTTTGGCACATCGGAGATATTTACTGGTGTCTGCAATCAGAAATCTTTCTGAGCTTCCACAGCCATGAAGCAGAGCCCGCTAACCCTTCTCCCTGCTCTTCCCCCCACCCTTCCTCCTGTGCCCTCCCAGGCATTTACAGCCTCCAGCATCCTGCGCACACACATCCGCCAGCACTCAGGAGAGAAGCCCTTCAAGTGCAAGCACTGCGGCAAAGCCTTCGCCTCACACGCGGCACATGACAGCCACATGCGGCGTACGCACAGCAAGGACAAGGGCAGCACCTGTGCGGTGTGTGGCCAGCACTTCCCAGAGCTGGAGGACTACCGCTTCCACATGAATGTCCACGCTGCTGCTCATTAGCCAGGAGTCCTCTCCTGGACCAGCTCTGTGGGTTCTATCGGTGTAAATGTGTGTATGTAGGCTGTGTGCGTGCCACAGGAAGCATTGACTCTCATGGTGTGGGTCACAAGAGTGCTGCTTTATAGCACGCTGACTCAGTGCCAGGGTGAGCTCTGACATGCACTGACCCTCCCTCCCTATGTTCCCTCATTTTCAGGAGTGTCCCTTCCCCAAAAGCCTCTTGTGTGTGAATATCACTGTGATGGATATTACCAGACCTCTAATTCACTGCAGCTGTGGGCTGCCTGGTGCTGTCCATGCCAAAGCTTGTTTGAGAGGTGCTCTTAGCAAGTATGTATACTAAGACACTTTAACCTACTTGTTTTATTCAGGCACATGACGAGGTGTGGGTTCTATCTCCTAGTGTGCAAGTCTTTTAATGAATCCCTATTCCTTAGAGAATGCTGCTGGAGCAGCAGAAGAGTATTTAATTGTGGCTTCAGGGCCAGCTGAGCTGACCAGGAGAGCTCTGGGGCAGTGACACCAACTCTTCCTTGGCCCAGGAGAGGGGGGGGGTGTATGAAAATGGTTGCAGGTGTGTGAAATGGCTCCAGAGCAGTGCTGTGGGTGGTGGTTCTACCTTCTCTGTCTCTACAGAAGACCAAGTTTGAAGCGGTTCCAGAACACCAACAGCTCTCCCAGGTGGGCCATGGCCACTCTAGCATTCTGTAGCAGCTTTGCACTGCGCTTGGCACAGGCCAGGGGTAGGCATGATTCCACCCCAAGGCTCCTCTGTATTGAGGCATAAAGGTTTTTGATCAACTCTTGTATCTCACTTAAGAAAAGGGGAAAGCCCTTTTCCTATCTTTGCTTTAAGATGAGAGGTGTATGACAGATGGATTGAGAAGTCTCACGACTACAGATCTCTGCGTGTAAAATTCCCTCCCCAAGCCATGGGAATGCCTTTACTTTGAGGGAGGGCCGGAGAGTTTTTTTCCCTGTTTCTCACTGACAATGCAGGTAAGTTCAGACTGATGTGTGGGCTTACTGTTGATTTCTTTTTAGCAAAAGAAAGCTATATATTACCTCAAAAAATGCCTTTTGTTTTCTACAGAAAAAGCTACTTATTTGCTATGGGTGTTAGAATTAGTTTGCTGAAAACTGGGTTTGCTTTTTTGTGCTCTAACTTAAGAGCAACCTCATGCATCCTGTCTTTCAGTACCTAGAAACCATCCCAGATAAAGCTTTCTCAGTATATTATACAATGGCTAAAAATACTTTCAGCATAAAATTCTGAGTGATAATTTTTGCAAAATACTCCCCAGCTCAGTAACTGTGGCATTCCCTGGCAATGTGAAATCTCAGCTCATGTGGAGAGCCGTACTGATGGACTGCTGTGCATGGGGAGTGCAAAGCCCTCCGTCTGTCAGTGCTGGGCAGAGGCTGAGATAATGCAGGAGGCTCTTGTGTTGGTACAGATGTGTGTGCTATGTTGCACACAGACAATAACAGCCCTTGCTGGAGCTGATTCTTTAATGCAGATAGTTTGGTGTTCTTGAGGTGACAAGGTTCTCTTAATATCCTAGGTCACCTAGGATTAACAAGGACTTTTTGAGCATAAGTACAGAAACTGAAAGTGTATTTAAAGAGATATGAAAGTTGTTAGGCACAGAATACAATATAAAACTAGAAAAAAAAGTTACTTGCACATTATATCTTGCAGATACTGTATAACTACATGTATTGACTTGCACTAACTTTTATATGGTTTATTGTATTTTGAATTGCATTGTCCTCATTTTCATGGTGAAAATTGAAAATAAAAAAACTATAGAACCGCTTGTAAGTAAAGTATTGAGGCCCAGCACCAGGCGGCATCTGAAATAAGCAACCTATAAATGAATGCAGCTGAGGGCACTGAGCCTTAGTTACAGCAGCCTGCCTACATGCAGGTGTTTTTGCTCGTGCATCTACAACCCTGGGCGACAGAAAGGTGAACTGTGCATGGGAAGGCTTTGCTGGTTTGGTCCCATAAATAACTCCAGATTTGTTGAAATCATCAGCTGCTTACTGAAAAAAGTTGTGACTCAATGAATGAGAAGTGCTGTGAGGTGCTTAGTTAGCTTTGCCTGTGGGTAACCTTGCTATTTCTTGTGAATGGGAGTTATTTATTTCAGTGGTACATTCTTTGCAGTGCTTTTATAGCTGTGTGTGTTTTCTCCTATGTGAAGAACCCCCATCTACCTTGTCCTCAAATATTAGCACTCTTCTGCAGCATTGTGTGATGAGTTGTCTGTAAAAGAGTACATGAAGAGTTTTGCTTGTGACTCAAGGTACCAGCTGTCTTGCACATTAAACTCATATATGTAAATGTTTTATGATACTTACTTTACAGAAAGGAAGAAAATAAATTATTTGAGTCTCTGCTATATGTGAATTGGCTACAAGTTGCTTTCTGTCCAGTGCATCTCTGTTGTATATCTGAGGTACTAATGAAGGGTGTTACCGTGTCATTTGTAAGTCATTACAGAATCAAACTGCCTCTTTCTGGGAACTGCAGTCCTCCCACTGGGTAACAGCTGACTGTATCATGAGGCAAATGTACCCTTGATGGCTTGGTCCATAAGAGTCCCAGTAGCCGATAGACGCTGAAACCATTCACATTTAGACTTAGTTCACTCCCACTTGGTCTCAACAAATCTGAATGGAGCAGTATAAAAGGCATTCAACTGCCCCGCAGCATTGAGGTCTCAATGGGGGCCACAGCTGTGCCTGCTGCTCTGCTTAGGTGGCTTTGGGCTGGGAGAGAGCAAGGATGGCACTTGGCCTGCATGCTTCACAGCCCTGCAGTGAGACGTCTGGCTGCAGGAGAGAGGTTATTTATGTTCTGTTTAGATTAGGGAATGCCTCTACATGCATCCTGTTAACATCTTATTAGCTGGTGTTTTGGGTTGTTTTTGTTTTTTGTTTTTGAGAGACTAAACTGATAGAAGCACATTGATGTGCTCCTGTGGCAGTGCAGCCAACAGCCTTGTGAAAAAAACAGATCTGGCCAGCTCAGCTGGGTTTTCATTTATTTATACATGCATGTGCACAGTGAGCATTTTGCCTGGCAGCTGCCCAGAAAGAGAGCCAACTGCATTATGGAGCTCTTGCACAGTCAGGTCGATGGAAGAGACTAGCCCTGAGATTGGGAAAATCGGACAGGAGCTGTACCTGAGCCAGCAATTTGCCTCTTCCTCCTGGCTGTGATGAAAAATAGTCCCGCCCAAGGAAAGCATCGAGTGAGCTGTTAAGGTTCAGCCCTGAGAGACACGAGATTTCCAAGCACTTTGCGCTATCTCCTGTGGTTTCTAAGATTAAACAAGAGAGGTCATTCACCAGAGTACCCCTGGCTTGTGGTTCTCTCCTCCAGGAAGAAGTTTCTCAGGGTTCCCAGCTGTAGGGGAGTACCAGGGCAGCTCTGCCTGTCCTACAGTGGCCATAGTGCCACAGGGCTGTGTGTGGTTTGAAGAGCTCTGGGTGGTGGTGGTGGTAAGGATGGGGATGGATGTGGTGGTGGGAACCGTGCTCCCCAGAGAGCTCTCACTTTTCCACAAGTGACCCACAGGCTCTCCATGTGGCCACCACAGTCCCCTGGCCAGCTGGAGCTGACTGCCACAAAGGGATTACCCATATTGATGCCCTAAGAGCTGTCAAGGTGGAGAGAAAGACTACTCTACCACAGGCTCTGAGCTCTTAGCCGAGTAGGATCATAAGCGCCCCATTAAAGGTTTCATTCAATAACAATCTTTACTAAAGTAAATGGACAACGGCAGCTCCCCCCACTACAGTCCCTAATGTAAGAGCCATTACAGAAGAGGAAGACAGAATGCAGAAACATCTATTTCTGCAGTATCAGTTTCAACAACATCCTCAAATGACTCTTTTCATGAAAAGTGGATTTTATTTTTTTCCCAGGGATGTGAAAACCCCAAGGAAACAACTAAAAGAGAATCTGTTTGCAATCTTGATCCTCCCCTCAGCCCCCAAGGCTGAAGTGTAGCTGCTTCCCATCAAGGCACCCACCAGTAAACAGTGGGAAAAGCAGCCTGACTGCACTATTCTGACACTGCTGGAAGCTGGCAAAGTGGGATCAGCAGTGCTGGGAGATGGCAGCACTGAAGGACAGTGGTGGGAGCTGTGTGCTATGTTGAAAAAGTGACAGGCCAGCTCTGGAAGGGGGCAATGCTCAGGTTTCCCCGGTGTCCCAGCCCTGCCTTTTTCATCCTAAGCATGGTGACTGCAATGGGAATGGCAAGTTTTCATGAGGTGAATTTCTGCCTTGGCTTTCCTGCCATGCCTGCCAACCTCGTTTCTCTAACACTTTCTTCCTTGCAGTGGCTGTAAGGGGAAGCTTCACACTATGGTTCTGAAGCCAGGGAGCTAAAACAGACGCTGAGTGGCTTTGCCCCATACAGTGTAATGAGGCTGATCCAGATCTCTGCTAGTCAAAATTAATTTTTGTTTTAACTTTGATGGTCAAGGGTGTGAAACCATGTATGGATATTAGTGCATTTATCAGCCTAGTTCCCTGCCACTGAACCGTTTTCCCTTAGTCTCAGAAATTGAGGGGTTCCCTGCCCAGGTGCTCAAGTAAACAAACAAGCAATGCAACACAAAAAACATGTCAGCAAAAGGGAAAATTCTTGGAAAATAGTGTTAGTTATTTGTCCAAGGGTCTGAGTTCTTTACCTGCCTTAAAGACCCCTTCCCAAGATTGCTGTCAGCCAAACATTCTGGGGGTTTGAATTTAATTCAGTGTGAGAATGGACTTAGAGCTTTTAAAATGACTTTTTTGTTTGTTTCTATCTTGCTATTACACCACTACTACAATGTTAACATAGTTTGCTTCTGTGTGTGTTTTTTTTTTTAAGCTATATATTATTCAAATTTAAATGCATGTTAATTTTGGCTAGAGAGACTGACCAGATCTCTTCAGATGTCCTGTGTAATCCTGTATTGTTGCTGTCAGCTTTATAACTGTAAACTGCGAGCAGCAGGGCCTGGCATGACAAACACATCCTTCTTTTATGGCATTGATTGATTTTTGTCCCATGAGAGCTGTTTTGGCTCGAATGTTATTATGACAAAAGGTTATACGGAGGGGTTAAGAGAGAGCAGTTCTTGCAAATAAGAGAAAATCATTTTGGAGAAAGCCAGAAGAGAAGGAAAACTGAAGTGGCAGGTAGCATTTAAAACTTTCCCAGAAACCTGGAACTTTTTGTTCAGTGACACTTTGGATCATATTTTTTTGTTATTCTGGTAGCAACAAGGAAATCAAAATCACTATCAGTCACTATCTTTTAAATTTTATCTTTGCTGTTTCTTGAGTCTATGTCTTTCAGACTCAGCCTTCTAGCAACAGAATTGTATCAGTTTAGAACAAATTATAGCCCCTGTATAACGTATAGTGATGACCAAAGATGGTGCAAGTTGTGTTTATACTTTTATTATTTACACAGGGATAAATTTTTTTTCTGAAGTGTTGTATTGGGGATTACAAGCTTCATATTGATATAACCATATGGTTGTATTAGTATCCCCCTCTCCCAAGCATAATTAGCACTCTTAACAGAATATTAACGTTCATTTTGTATTCATGTGTACGCACACACAAGAGCATTTGTGTAGATGTAGGTATGCCTGTGTGTCTGTTAAAAACGTCCTTTCATATATTCAAATAAGCAAATATAGAACTAATGAATGCCCACTTTCAGAGTTTCTTTTCCAGGGAGTCAATGACTAAAACTAGGTATTCAGCATCACCAGTTTGCTTCCCAGCACAGTCTGAACACAGGGCAAGCAGAAGACCTTACAGCAGTGGCAGATGGCAGTCACTGTTGTACTGCTGATTACAGCCATGTTTGGTCCCTGTGGTACTTAACCTTTTTTAAAAATCTTTGTGTTGTGTTGATATTTGGCATTCCTCGTATTTTCTTGTGCTTCTGAGACCTTTCTGTAATACGAAAGAACTGACAGTGGCCAGCAAAGTGCAAGTCCTTTGCAGCAGCTTTCCTATCAGTATATTTTAGCATCAGCTTTTGAAGCTGCTCCACTTCTTAGTGTTACTGCATTGGTATTGATTTGAGCTGTGCGGGTCCAAGAAAGTTTTCTAAGATGCAAAAGCAATCAAAGGATCATCCTCATAAGTAGCTATAGCACTGATGGCCAAAGGGGAGCTTTAGGCACTAGGAACTCCCGAGAAGTTTAACCCGTAAAGTCCAAAAGGATGCAGCTGTGCACCTCCCCGTGTAGCCACGTCCCTTCCCCAGCCGGCAATTCGGCGGCATCCAGAAGCATTATAGGTTGCTTATATACATATCAATTCCCAGGGGCCCTCAAAAACAGGGAGCTTTTAACCTGCTATTGTAACCATTCTCATGGAAGGCTGCCGCCTCCCACCTTTCGCCTCGCAGGGGACGGAGTTGCACTTTTATTTTAATTCAGCGTCGGCCTCTTCACGGCTCTCTTTTCCACATCACTGGCAGGATGTGGAAGCCAAAAAAATAAATTAAAAAAAAATGACAAAGTTTAGGGGATTATGGCTGGAGAGTAAGGGATTAAGTTTATAAAACCTTGGCCATCTTTCCCTTGCTAAACACGGCGTTTAAAAGTGTTGAAGCTTAAGAAGCGGCCAGCTCGGTTAACTACCTCCAGAGGTGCAAACAGGTCTTTCAGTGCTATTCATCACCTTAAAGACCATGCTGTTCACACACAATGTCGTGAGTTTGGGCCATTTTACTTAAACCTCTATGTAAATCAGCCGCCGTCGACGTTCTTCCTCTCCCCTGACCTCCCAACCCCCATACAGCTGGAGGAGTGAGTTCCCACCTCCATTCTCTTGGCTAGCAATATATCAATGTGTGCTTTTGTTTTGGTGTGTGTTTTTTCTTTCAGATCTTTAAAGATCCTTTCACGATCAAATATTTACTTCCCCAAGCGAATAGCTAAGATGGGGAGGGGAAAGGGTATCTATTACTTCTTTTTGCATGACACGGAGCTGCTGTTAAAATATTCCATTGACCTAAAATTGCCCATGTCAGATATTATCATCTATGGCTGGGCATCTACATCTGAGCCAAGCATCTCTAAATTATCTTGAGGAGTTTTCAGTGAGACCTGGCTTATTATTAACGTCTTTCCTATACTTTATTTTATTTTATTTCATTTTGTATCAGTGAAATATATGGCTTTTCCAGTCGCTGTTTTCAGACCCCTGCCTCGAGGCCAGGTTGGAAGCACCGCTTTGGGAAGGAGGCAGGCAGGGACTGACACAAGCACCAGGCCGCATTAGGCACCAAGATGGCGGCTGCCCCAACTGCTCCTTGGTAGCAGGGGAATGGCAGGGCCTGAGTGCCCATCCCCAGCTCCCTGAGCAGAGCCTTGTTTAAGTGGGCCAGATTCTTCCGTGTGGGGACAATAAAACTCTGCTTGGAGGCTGACCAAGCTGATTGATGGGGAGGGTGCTAAAAATCTGACTTATCAATAAATGTCATGCAAAGTTAACAGAGGTGACTGAGGAATGTAGCCCGCAGGAGCGTTAATTTATCTCTGGACTGGCTTCCTCCCCTCCTTCTCAGGGTTTGTTGCCTGTACTAATAGGGTCTCGGGTCTTTCCTGATAGGTGCCTGAATGCCAGGCAGCAGATTTAAAGATAATAATGACAATGACTGTGATAATGGCCGGCTCCGTAGCCTAAAGCTGGCGGTGGGGAGCGTGAAAGCACCTCGGCCCAGGCGGGTGCAGCACTTTCCTCCCTTCCTGCTGGGATATTATCTCCACCCTCAGGAGTTTAACTTGCTATGAGGGCCAACCCTCTTTGACCTGCTCGCTTCTGACGCTAGAATTGACATGTAAAGGTGCTTTAAAGCATCCCGTGGTTGTCCCGACAATGGAGCTTTTGCAGCACAATGCCCCAAACCGATGTCCTCGGCACACCTCCCGGCTCCCCGCTGCGCGGGGTAGGGCTGGCTCTGGTGCTGCACGGCACAGCCGAGCCTCCTTCCTCTCGCCTTCTGCCTGCCATCATCTCTCAGGCACCTTCTGCAAGGCAGCCAAGCCTGGAAGGCTGCAGCAGAGGCGTTATAGTAAATCTTCTATTCTTTGGTGATTTCTCTGCTGAAAGAGTGCCTTTTCGAGGTGCTAGGATGGGATGAGGCCCGGTGGACACTGTGAGAAGCTTGGGAAACTAACGTGATACAAACCACAGTGTTTTGGCCTTTATCTTCAGAGTCATTTGTAAAGCCAGAAGGGGACAGTGATTCATTTCCAAATGAAAGAAAGAGCCACAGACCGAATAAATGATATTCCTTGTGCTACACAGACTGGTGTAAGAGTGGAGCCTGTGTCTGCATTACTGTACAGAAGTGAGGCACAGTCATGAACTCCTCTCAGCCACCTCTGTCTCTTTCTGCCATCCTGATGGCACATCCAAATGGGCACAGTTTCTAAGGGAAAGAGTGTGGGTGCATGGCTTGGAAGGTAGCTGTACCACACAGTGACAGCCATATCTCCCAGTGTATGGGGACAAAAAGTAGTAAAGGGTTATCATTATGCAAATGATCTTGTATCAATATCATAATTGTCAGTAGCAAATCAACACATCTGTAACCAGGATTTACTATTTCTTATTTTGCTCTATAGTTTCCCTCTTGAATATCTCACTGTGCTGGTCTCTGTCAGGTCTTACTGCATGGCTCTTCCTAATCCTAGTTATTGAGTTCCTTTTGGCTTTCCAAGGGCAGAACTTGTGTTTACACACTTGATGATGCCTTTTGCTAGATCACTGTATCCATGCCTCTATAACTAAACTCAGGAACTTGTGTAATAGTATACTAAACTGATAACTCCTTCAATTGCTAGTTGTCAGGGCATCTATCCTCACTGTAGCTGGAACTTAAGAAGTTGTTCAGAATGTCTGAGGCAAGTTTCCCTCAGTTCCATTCCTTCCTCTGTAATGAAGCTATTTATTTGTTATAGGCACTTGAATACACTTGGAATTTCTTTCTTTATTGCTGAATTTCCTTTTGTGCAGATTATCTAACTGGAACTGAAATTCTTTTGTTATTTTAAATAGTGAACAAATTGATGCAACTTTGTACCTATTTATAACATTCAAGATCATAATTAGCACATATATGGGAAAAGATCTAAGACGTACACTTTTTTTAGAAGAAAAATGTCTGTATTATTTGATTAAAACCCTACTGTCTGCTACAGCAATCACACTGCTTAGAATTTGCTCCTTTATTAACCATGTCTTTATATATATATGTATATATATATATATATATATATATATATATATATATATAAAATACATATATATATATATTAGTAACTGCTCCCTTCATAGGCTGCTGATATTCAAGGGCCTAGTGGAAAGGCAGATATTACCATTAGGTGCTGTTGCTTTATACCTATAGCTTCATACATTTCATATGTTAAAACAAGTAGAACATGAGCCACTTGAGAAAAGTTGAGGACTCTGGATAAGAGATGAATCCAACACAATCCTGAAACTTAAGGCGAATGAAGATACTTAGTTTAATACTTGTTCTGTATTTCAGCTTGTACTGGCTATTGAACACACACATAACTGGAATCTTTCTCCCAGGTGTAGAGAAGTTTTTGGGGGTAGAGGTTCTCTTGGAAGGAAAAAATCAGATTAGAAGGTACTCTGAATCATGTTGAATATGCTGCAAGGAGCCAACAAGATTAAACAGAAATTGGATTTACTTGGTTTAACAGATGTTTTGAGTTTTTAATAAATATTTTGAAATAAGAGCATTCACTATATATAGTGTCAATGCACTAAATTTCAGTAGTTTTATTTTTTGAGTGAAGTTGAAAACCAAGTCTAATAAAAATGTGATAGTGCTGCCTTTTTTTACGCTATTGCAATGCCATTATAATGAGTCTCTAGTTACAAAACTAGAGGAATGAGGATCTGTTTGCTTATATTTTAGTCATTTTTTGGAAGGAAAAAAAAAACCAGCTGCTGTTTTACTAGCCTTAGAGATCATAGTATCTTATGTTTTAATCAAACTATTATGCCCACTAAACCTTATACTTTTTACTGATCATTTCAATTTCTGAATTTTATTATAAATGAAGAAATCTGTCTCTCTCTCTTCAGGACCGTTCAGGGTAGCGCAGATTTCTTTCAAAGAAACGTACAGCATTGAGGGATAAATTCTACATTTCTCCATGAGAAGACTTGCTAATATTTTTCAAGTTTGCCTTGGTAGATCTGGGAGTCAGTACAGAATTGAGAGATAAGTATCTCCATTCTGATGAATTTTCTCTTTATGTAACAGTGCTCTAGGCACGACACAAGGGCTTTTGTGCTTTCTTCAGTCATGGGATATTTTACCAAAGGAATAGGCTGACTGCTTCTGGGCTCCAGTGTATCATCTGGTGTCTCACTGATATGGGTGATCCCAACAGGAAAAAAAAAGGGCAACTGTTTGAAGCATTTCCGTCGGAGACACCAGAAAGAGCTAACTGTAGATTCCTATGGTTTTGTGGTTTTTTGTTTTTTTTTTTTGTGTGTGTGTGTGTGTGTGTGTGTTTGTGTATGTGTGATTTCTTTATTTTTGCCTTGATCATGTGTTTTCAAGACCACAGATGTCCTTGGTTGCTCCTCATCAATAACACTTTCAAAGCCCCCACTGTACTTTACTCCATTGTCTGTAAGCCTAAAAATAAAAAAGGACCAAGAGTGCTGGATAGAGCATTTGTTCTTGCTCATATGAAGGCTTCTTACTAGAAATTGATTACTCAATATTTTTTAAAATGTCTTTTAACATAAATATACTCCCATTACACTCCAGGTTTCAAAAGGTAAGAATGTGTATAATTGACATCTATAAGTACATCTGTGTGCAACATATGTGCTCTTTTCAGTGATCCTATTGAACATATCTCATCCTAAGAAGGGTGACCTTGAGTTGTTATTGGTTTAGTAAACTCAGCCTAGTTAGGAATCTTCCATTAATGCCCTGGAACGAAAGCTGTAGCTCAGGCCCCTGGGATATCATCAACAGAGGAATTTCACTGTCTTTTGGCCACTGCAATCCATTTGTTAAAATATATTTAAGTGAGATGGATCCTGACGTTAAATATTTAGTGTTTGTAGGGTGATACTGTGCTAAACGGACTTTGCTGTCTTATTACATTTTTTTTAATCTCATCCCTTTTGATTATCTTAGAACAACATAGTTGAAAAAAAATACAGGAAAATAGTATAATATATATTTTTTCTTTTTTATATATAAACAGCTTTTTTGTTTGTTTGTTTCTGTCATTGATTTTTTTGTTTGTTTGTTTGTTTATGGTTTTTGTTTCTCCCAAGGCACACCTGAACAGGAGACTTTAACACATGATGGAGCTACTGTACTTGATGAACAGGTTTATTTCCTTTAAGCTATGAATGCTTCAGCAGGTAACTAACAACCTGATACAAGA